CTCGCCTTGATTGGGCATCTGTCCGACGGCTTGCACCAAGCCTTTGCCCAGTGTGGCACTGCCAATCACCACTGCGCGCCGATGATCGGCCAGCGCCGCGGCAAGGATCTCTGCGGCGCTGGCGGTGCGACCGTCAACAAGAATGGCGATCGGAAGGTTTTTTGTCATGTCGCCACCCTGGACTGTCCAGATATGGTTGGCATGCGTGTTTCTGCCTTCCGTCGTCACGGCCACACCACTGTCGAGGAGGAGTGCAACGGCAGTGACGGCTTGCTGCAAAACGCCGCCGCGATCTCCCCTTAAATCAAGGATGATTGCCTTAACCTTATCTTCCGTGAGGGCCTGATCGAGGTACTGGCTTAACTCCTCAGCAGTGTCTGAGGAAAATGCGGTGATACTGAACTCGGCGATCTGGTGCGTTGTTTGCATGTAGACCGTTTGCGGCGGAACCTTTTGAAGGCGTAATTCCTGCGTAAATCCCGGCTGCCCGGGCTTGCGAAGCATGAGTGTCACAGGTGTCCCTGACGGGCCTTTCAGCATGGAGGAGACGTCCTCCAGACTTTTTCCGCGCAACATCTGACCGTTGATGGCGAGGAGATGCATCCCTGCGTCCAAGCCGGACGACCAAGCGGGTCCGTTTGCGTTGATGGCGACAATGATGAAGGTCCCGCCCGACTTTTTCAAAGTCATGCCGAGATTACCCTCATCTCCTGATCGCGCCCACCGGTCATTTGCTGCCGGTGCCGGTCCAACATAGCGAGAGTAAGGGTCGAGATGATTGAATAGCTCGTCAAAGAAACTTTGCAGGACGGCTTCCTGCCCGGCGGCTCGAAGCGTCTTCGAATTTTGCCACGCGGCATCGATGACGGACAGCGTAAACTTAATGCAGCTTGAAAGGTCTGATGCAGAGGGAGGCGGAAACGTCCCGACAATCGCGCTGCCCGACAGTCAGGTGGTAAAGCTGCGGATCCTTTGCATTTGCGGGGGGCTCATCAAGTGACACGGCGGGATCAATCGCTGTCAGGCCATCCAGTCCCCACAGACAAAATGTACTGTATTTGTGAGCGTCGAGCGTGCGCGGTTGAATAAACTGCAATGCTGCACGAATAACTTCGGTCATAAGAGGCTGATCAAGCGGCGCAGTGTCTTCCGAGTGAGCAAATACAGGCGTCAGAACAAGCCACGCGCATAACAGGGCACTGCATACCTGCCGCGGACGTCCTGCAGAAATGGCTTTAAAGCGTGTCAGGGGAGAAAACCTTACATGCCGAAATACAGCGTCACACTATACAGCGGAAAAATTTTATCTTGCAACGCAAATAAGGGTGGGTGCTAAAGCCCCACCCAGCTCGGAGATGACGCGTGACGTCAAGTTGATGAAGACGATTTATTTGTCGTCTTCGTTGTTTTTTTACGGGCGGCTGTCGCCTTTTTGGCGGGCGCCTTTCTGGCTGCTGACGCCTGCTTTTCCTTCTTGGTCGCACCGGTCGGGGAGGACGACGATTTTGCGCTCGTCTTCTTCGTTTTTGCTTTTAAAGGTTTCCCTTTTTCCGCGAGGAGAGCGATCGCTTCATCGAGGGAAATATCGTCAAGACCAAGGCCGCGGGGCAGGTTGACAACAATTTGTCCATGTTGGGCGTATGGGCCAAAACGGCCTTTGCGAAGTGTGACGCTCTCGCCATCTTTTGGGTGCTTGCCGAGGCTTCGGATGCTGGCC